AGGACCCCCCTAGCCTCGCCTATGAGAAGACCCCCTTTGTGATACCTCGTTCGAAAGAGCATATAAAAGAAAACTTCTCGCGCCGACCTGAAGTCAATATCTCAAACCGTTTCAAAATATCGCCCAGTGAAATTTCAAGATGGCCGAAAATTGACACCGGTTGTTTGTCATTGGATTTGCGCGAAATTGGGTATCCAAAGGTATTTTGACACGATAAAAACGAATTTGACGTTAGATTTAAAAAAAAAAAAAATATATATTTTTTGAATTATAATTTTTGCAGGTTTAATGGCTTATACCTCAAAAAATCGTCAAAATGGTAGCTGATCGAAGTTCAAAACGGCCGAAGATTGCCAGCTCGGTTTTTTGCTGATGCAGCTGGCGCGCACACACACACTCGCAAAAATACAGGCTGGGCCTCGTTATTTGGTCCGGTGTGGTAGTGCACTGGGGAATTCCGTTGCCGGCAAAAGCACCGAAGTGCTTTTCGACCGTAAGCCCGGGAAAGAACGGCCGTAAACGGGGAGAAAGGCTCAACTTGGATTCGTCGATACGCTGGTTTGTCGTCTCTCTCTCACACTCATTGGGCAGATGCGGCTCGTCAAAGGGACACCTGCATTTGCTGAAACTTGGGACTTGAGGTATTTTGACATAAGATTAACAAATTTGAAATCAAACTTCTAAAAAAAAAAAAAAATTCGGCCATTTTGAAATTTAATTGGCGACCATTTTGGATATTTTGGGTTTCTTAAAAATCTACATTAAATCGTTTTTCTAGTGTCAAAATACCCCTTAGATACCGATTTACGCGCAAATCCAGCGACAAAAAACCGAGGTGCCAATTTTCGGCCATGTTGAACATTAACCGGCAGCCATTTTGAAACTGTTTGAGATATTGACTTCGGATTTGCGCGAGGTATATCATAAAGGGGGTCCTCCCAATTGAAAAAAAAGTTGGGGTCCGTTGCCGCCTCAAGAGGGCCCCTAAAAATGTTAGGGGGGGGGGGCTAAAAAGTAGCTCCCTTTGACCGAACAACACCCCCAAGTTGCAAATCTTTACCTCAATTAGGTAAAAGGTCAGAGGGGGTGGAATGTACTTTCGGATCACCCCTTATACTTTCTGGGCCTATTCATACTCTCTGACTCGCCCAGAGAGTATGATTAGAGGCCCGTCTAGAGAGTATGGATTATGGAACCTTCCATACTCTCTGGGCCCGTTTTAACGCTAAAATGTGGAAGCCATCGGCCCGATGCCTGAATTTTGCGCGTGACGCGCAAAATTCAGCAACGACTCTCAGCGACCATCAGATAATGTCGGATTTGTCTGAGCTATTCAAATAAATTTGATTCACATCAAAATCGGACCTTTTACCTTCCATTCTCTCTGCCTCGCCCAGTCGCCCTGCTCGCCTGCTCTCTCGAGGGTCTTCGCCTGCAAAAGTGCAAAAAGTAAATAGCCTTGGAGGCCTTGGAGGACTAGGGTCGCCGCAATTTCTACTTTGTTCCTACTTAGCACTCCTGGTCATTCGAGTAATCGTGTGAGAGTGTGTTAGTATTAGCTGCGGCAAGGTTGCCAAATTATACAATAAAATGTAGGTATTGTACATGGTTTTAAATAGAGAAATCTGATTTTTCAGCACCATCTGGCAACAATTAATTCTGCGGAGGGAAACATTTTGACATGCATTAAATAATTTTCACCCTCTTTTAAAATGGGATTCTATCGTACCAATTTGTCTCAGTTGATCAAAATTGCCTGGGAAATCAGCTACAAATTCCTCGCCCAGAGCTTCTTATGTAAAAAAGTCAGTTATTTAAAGTTCACCCTCTATCATGTCCGTGCAGCCTGACCCTGAGAAAAGAAAGAGGTGTTAGTATTTCGGTATCTTGGATTCTTTTGATGACGTAGGTCGGTACGGACGACTTTTATCATCGATTTTCTTGGAATTTGTGTGGTTTATGGAAAAAATTCATTTCATATAAAGTGTTTGAAATCATATCATGAGTTGAATTGAGCAAAAAAATGGGACGTTCTGGTCCGTCTTTCAGACTTTGAATTCCAGATTTTGCTGGCCATGCTGTACCGACCTACGTCACGCGGTAAACAATCCTCAAAATGCAAACACCTCCTTGTTTTTCTTTGGCTCCGACCAGCTCCGACCGACCATTTAACCTCAAACAATGGCCAGGAATGTTTAGTGTTTAGTCAGAGAATTGGTATTGGTCGGGTTGCCGTCAGTCAAACCTCAAGCCGTCAATTTCGTTCTTCTCTTTTGTGCCTTGTGTTGTGTCCAACTCCAATTTTGGACACATATGTGATTTGGATTGATTTCTGCGATTTTCCAGCATAGCAAAGTTTTCTGCTCCTATATATATCTGTTACTATGTACCTTACCTGGTCAGCTCTTGACAATGCATTCCTGCGCCGATCGTGAGATTTTGTCTCACTTATTATATCAGTTGTTTCGTCGTCCCTTTTCTCAGGCATCTAGAATCCTCAGTGTCTTCAGTGATTAGAAGTGCGTGAAAAATCTATCGTCGCGTTTCTTACGTGGTTTACCCACAACGCTTGATGTATGACATTCTCAACATATATCAGTCACTCAATCTGTTCCCTTGTTCTCAATAATGTCCTCTATGGACTTACTTTGCTGTGAAAATGGAGTTATCCCAGACGAGGTGAAAGCTTACATTGATCCTATTTTGATAAATGACGACAGGGTCCTGGAGAACCTGCTCAAAGATGATGCCCAATCTTCAATTAAGAATTACTTTGTCACCATTCAACGTGAGATCACTCCAAAAATGAGGGAACTTGTCGCAGAATGGATGTGGGAGGTAAGGATCATTATCTATCTTGCCTTTTATTGCAAGGAGTAAGTTTGTTATGATGGATTGAACTAGGTAAATAGAATCCTGTATCCCCAGTCACAACACATTGCCAGTGGTTGCATTAGGCGTACCTGCACCACAAATGGCAAGGCTATAAGAATGTTCCTTTAATTGTTC